TGTCTGGCCTTCGGGTGCCTTGATAAGTAGCATGACCCCTTCCTCTCTGTGGCAGCCCCTCAAATATTAGAAAACTGCTATCATGTCTCTTCCGAGCCTTCTCTTCACTAGACTAGCCATGCCCAGTTTCTGCAGCCATTCATCGTATGTTTTAGCCTCCAGTCCACTAATCATCCTGGTTGCTCTTCTCTCCACTTTTTCTAGAGTCTCAACATCTTTTTTATAGTGTGGTGACCAAAACTGGATGCAGTATTCTAGGTGTGGTCTTACTAAGGCTTTATAGAGTAGTATCAGTACCTCACATGATCTTGATTGTATCCCTCTGTTAATGCAATTTAGGATTGCATTGGCTTTTTTGGCTGTCATTGCCCACCATTGGCTCATATTTAATTGGTTGTCCACTAAGTCTCCAAGATCCCTCTCACAGTTACTGCTATTAAGCCTGGTTTCACTCAGTCTGTGTTTAACAAATGGTGAAAGGATTTCTTTTGCTACTCTCATGGCATGGAATGTCTGGATTAAGGACCTTTTCAACCCTCTATTCATTACAAAAGCAGTAATCCAGTGGTTCTTGGTATAACTAAGGAAAAGATAACAAGATGGTAATAACTAGTTTTAGATTTTAGATTGGAGAACATCTTTCAAAATTGAAAGATTAATTGTACAGTGCAAAAAATGTTTTTTTGTTGCTTTCAAGAGCAGAACTCAGTGGGCAGCATAAATATGGGTGACTCTGGAAGTTTCTAAAAGTAGGACCCAATACAGGTGATACTAAGCTGGCAGGAATAGCTAACACCCAAGAAGACAGGTTCAAGATCCGGATGGATCTTGACAGACTAGAACACTGGGCCAAATCTAACAAAATGAAATTCAATGTAGAGAAAAATAAAGTCCTACACTTAGGCAAGAAAAACCAAAAATATACATATAGACTGGGTGAAACCAGGCTCAAAAGCAGTAACTTGCTATTGAGCCTGGTTTCTTGATTGCGAGGGATCTTGGAGTCAGCCAAAAAAGCTAATGCAATCCTAAATTTCATTAACAGAGGGATACTATCAAGATCACGAATAGTATTCCTCTAGATTCACCCCACACAGGAACCAGCTCAAAAACCCATGAGTCTAATTCTCCCAGGAACACCCATCAGTTTTGAAGTCAAAAGACAAGTCTACGATCCGAACACAAAGCACCAAACCCAAAGGTTTAAGGTGATCTTTTCTTTTATATACACTGAGAGCATTTGCACCAAGACAAATTCCTTGTGTGTCCAACGACACTTGGCCAATAAAGAATTCTATTCTATTCTATTCTTTCTCTTTCTCACCTTCCTTCCTCTTTTTGTATTCTTTAATTGCATCTTTTTTGTGTTTACTTCTAACTATCTGCCCGCTTTTTGTTCCTTATGGTCTTCATACTCTTTCTAAAGCCGTATATTTTGTATTGTTTGGGAACTAAGCTAAACTACATTTGCTATGAGATGTGTAAAAACAATAAATCTCCTCTTTTGAAATAAACAAGTGTGGACTTTTTTTACCCAGGGTAAAACCCATGTGATCATAACATATTTTTTGAGCAACAAATCCTGTTATTGGCATCGTTGGTTCTTCTGGCATTCCGCAAGATTTGGCGGTTCCCCACTACGATCATCCTGCTTTAATCATTTCCTCATGTGCCACGATCCTGCTGTAAACTACTTATCCAGCAATAATTAGCTTTGGGAAGGAATTCCTGCTGACACCAGCAAAATCTTTCTTCCTCTGGCTAATAACAGTCTGGGTAGCATACACATTTCTGAAAGGATTATAGTGGATAGGGAAAAAAGTAGTCTAACCCAACATGCCTTGCTCCTAATCTTGTTCATTTCCTTTCCACTGCATCCTTTTAAAAAGTGCATGTAAAATTTTCACATACAATTAATATTGCATACAGTTTGGCCCTGGACATTTTTCTAGGAATCATTTCATTACCTTTCTTACAGTAGCCATTCAGCCTTTTTATTAGATTTTCTGTGTAGTTTGACTTCCCCTGATTTTACTTGCCTTTCATGGGATATCCAAATGTCAGCTAATTTCTGGAATCCTGAAACCATGTTACATTACAGCATCACAGTGCCTGTCTTCGTTTAAATATCCTGGAAGGAACAGGGAAATTTGTGTATCTATGGGGCGGGGGGCTCAGTGGCTAAGACGTTAAGCTTGTCGATCAGAAAGGTTGGCGGTTCGAATCCCTAGCACCACGTAACAGAGTGAGCTCCCGTTACTCGTCCCAGTTTCTGCCAATCTAGCAGCTTGAAAGCATGTAAAAATACAAGTAGAAAAACAGGACAACTTTGGTGGGAAGGTAACAGCATTCCGTGCACCTTTAGCGTTTAGTCATGCCGACCACATAACCACGGAGACGTCTTTGGACAGCACTGGCTGTTTGGCCTTGTAACAGAGATGAGCACCACCTCCCTAGAGCTGGAAACAACTAGCACATATGTGCAAGGGGAACCTTTACCTTAACCTTATGGGGCGGGGGGCGGGGGGAATAGAATACAATTTCATGACATATTTGTGGATTTGACAATGATGAACTTGTGCTTTGGAGATCAGAAAAAGTATGACTGCAATATTCTGAGGAACATTATAAAGATAACACTCTCTTCTCATTGTGCAGAGTCTGATTGATTTAGGAGTATAAGAATGGGATCATACAAGTGGTGAGATTCAATTTTTTTTACTACCGGTTCTGCGTGCGTGGTTCTGCGTGCGTGGTTCTGCGTGCATGGCAGGGGAAGGATATTGTAAAATCTCCAGTCAGAGGCGGGATTTGCCGGTTTTCTGAACTACTCAAAATTTCCGCTACCGGTTCTCCAGAACTGGTCAGGACCTGCTGAATACCACCTCTGGATCATACTATCCTCCTCCATTTTCAAGTCACTTTTGCCCTTCAATTTTCCAACGTTTTCCTTGTTTTTTCTCCAACAGCATCTGTAATAGCCGAGATTATATTCTACTATCTGTATGTGTTTCTTTCCTTGAATTTACTATCGGAGCAAATAAAACATTGTCAAAGTAAATTTATGAATTAAAATGAAAGGTTCTTAAGAAACCACTGGCACTGTCAATTTGATGTTTTTATCTCCCAGACATCTGTACCGCTACGTAGTTCTTTCTGCAGGTCTACATCTGTGACACACAATTCTTGGCAGTTCATATTGATGGGATTACAACTAAGTATGAAACTGCTTCAGGCATTTTTAGTGAGCTCGAATTTTTAAACAGAAGCTTTTACGTGTATTTTGTTACATGAGCTTAACCTTTTATGTTGAGAAATACCAGAATAGCAGGATCCAGCCCCACAGATTCAGACAGATTAGATAGAAGCCTCTCACTCCCAAACTTGTGTAAAAAAACAGAAATGTACCTTCAAGTGCGGTTGTGTCAGTTTTTACAGAAGCCACTGCAATAACGTTTTCAATGTTGTGTTCCATTTTTTTTTAGAATATCCGAATCTTTTCAGTATTTCACAGTTACAGGACATGCTGAATTCTCATTGGACTGTTTTGGATTCTCTATCCCTTTTACAATATGTTTTGATTTTTTTAAAAGTCCATGTTTACGCTTATTCTTCTCCTAATCCTTTTGGCATTTCTTTCTGACTCCTGTCATTATGTAAGAAACTCAGCTAATTTTACTGTGAGCATATAAAGTTGAAGTCCATTAAGATAATTTTTCCATTTACATTTCACTGGTTGTTTAAAAACTTGTATTACATGTGATAGGATATCTTCTATCATATGCATATATATATTTCTTCTAGTTGTATGGATTGGGGATTTCTTATATACCCACGGGGTCTTTCTTCTCTGTATATGTATATGTTTCTTCAACATATAACTACAAAGATACATTTACAAAAGTGTATGATAGAAAATGATGTACAGGTACTCATCAGCTTATGACCACTAATTCAGTGTCCTTTCAAACTTATGATAGTATTGAAAAAATGGCAGTTACAATGGGTCCTCAGAGTTCTGGTTGTTGTAATGTGCCCACAGTAACATGAGTGTGAACCATGTCCTGCTTCTGGTTTCAAATATACATAATACGTGGGGTGAATATAGAAATTAGCAGTTTACTCAAGGTCAAGGAGGTAATGGCAGACAAGGAATGTAAACCAAAACAGAGTCTCTGAAAAAATAAGCTTACCTGAATGGCTTTGCTTTTAACAGGAACATGCAGAAGAATAGTCCCAACCCAGTCCAAATTTCAAGAGCCATGTCAAGAGTTGTTAGCCAGTCCAAGAGATCAGAATTTCACAAGCAGAAGCCTCACAAATGTTACATAAGACCCAGAGATCAGAAGGTTGATTTCAAGAAGAATCGTAGATCAGGCCTAGCGCTTAAATCATACTGCAGATTTGTGATAATCATAATATTATTCTTATAGTTTCTGAACTTATGTGAGAGCTTTGATGGGAGAAAGACTAAATATATATGTAATGATTATAAATTTATTGTGGAAGTAAGGCGAGTTGGAGTTACAGTTGTGTCCATCAAAATGACTGTTGCCTTAGAACAGAGGTATCAAACTCGATTTCATTGAGGGCCGCATCAGTGTTGTGTTTGACCTCATGGGGGGGCGGGGTGAACGTGGGCAGCTTGATGTCATTTGTGTTGGGGTGCCTGTGGGTGGCCTGAGCGCTCTGCCAGTGAAAACGGGCTCCTGAGTTCCGTTTTCGGCTATGACGGCCTCCTACAACCCTCTGCCAGCGAAAACAGCCCTCCCAAACTCTGTTTTTTTCTGGCAGAGGCACCACAGGCTGGTCCTTTGCTGTTTCCAGGGCAGCCCTGCGGGCCAGATCTAAGCACCCCATGGGCTGGATCCAGCTCTCAGGCCTTGAGTTTGACACCCCTGCCTTAGAGTATAATTTGTCCTACATTTAGTACAAATGATGAATGGAAAGAAAGTACTGTAGCCTTCTTGAACAGGGATTGTCTTGTTTTGCTTTCTCAGATAAAATGCATGTGTCATTAGCTGAAGCCCTGGAAGTTCGGGGTGGACCACTACAGGAAGAAGAAATATGGGCTGTGCTGAATCAAAGTGCTGAAAGCCTTCAAGAGTTACTCCGAAAAGGTAAGGCCTAGATTTTAGCTTTAAGGTGGGTGTGTTGGAGTAAGTCCGCATGGGATGGAAAATAAAGGATAGAAAATTTGAATAAGTGATCCAACGTATGGACATGGTTATGGTTAAGATTAGGGTTCAACTTAACTGTTACCTGCAAAATTTAAATTCCTTCTTAAATGGAGAAGAAATATGCCAGCTACATCCATCATCTCAGTAACTATGTATTAACCAAGATTTGGAATAGAACAAATTCCTCTGACCATGTTGATAGCATTCTTTCTGATTATCTGAGACCTTGTTTTGGCTTTAACTTCATTGATTCCTACCACACATGGTCACTTTACAGGGAGTGCAGCACCTGCATGTCAAAAAGAGGGCTTGTTTTTTTTTTGTTTTTTTTTTAATGAAATAGGGAATGTTTAAGGAAGAAGTTTGGATTATCATTTAGGAGACAAGTTCATTTAACTTACCACTGGTTGAAGACCTGAGTATATTAGAGAACATGGAGAAGGTCAAGGGATGAACTAGTAGCTTTTAGTTCCGGCTTTTTAAAAAGGTGCATTGAAAAACAAAAACAAAAACCAAGGTTGTACATTCCCATATAAAGCTTTTGGAAATCTGACATACCGATGACACTTTTTGGAACACTTTCAAGAAGCAAAGCCTAAAGCAACCACACCTCCTTCTTTAAACTTTGTAATGTAAAACGTAGATTCAGAGGTCAAATTCTTGTATTCTTTCTGTCTTCTCCACGCCCCTGCCCAAAACTGAAACCCCATACCTTCATCATCTTCTATCTGAATGTAGAGGTGAAACGTTGAGGAATCTGTTCCTTGTGCATATAAACACAACTGTGAACATTAGAGCAGAGTAGAGCAGAGCAGAGCAGAACAGAACAGAACAGAACAGAACTCAATTCATTATTGGCTGAGTGTAATTGGATACACAAGGAATTTGTCTCTGGTGCATAAGCTCTCAGTGTACATACAAGCAACATAAATTTTGTTTTGTGAACTGAGCAAATATACAAAATTAATTTCCAGTTGAAAGTTTTATTCCTCATTTTTTTAAACTTTATGCTAATTTCTCTATTAAAAGTTGGCATTGTGCTGGCTATTGTACCTGCTTTGGAAGGAAAGTTTGGAAGGAAAGTTTTGGAAGGAAATCAACTGCCTCGATCTCATCTTCTGCAATAGTTTGAATTTAATTTACGGAATATAAACTAAAGAACCCTTTTCCAGTAGTGACCACAATATGATTGACTTTTGTCTCAACATACGTCCACACAAAAATCACCACAATGATGTAATCCCCAATTGTAACTTCAAAAAAGGCAACTATGATCTTATAGACAACGACCTCTCATCCCTTGATTGGCAATCTCTATTCACTGGATGCAATACCGTTGAAGACCATTACAACATATTTTTACTTGAAGTCAAAAGAGTCATCAAACTATATGTTCCAACAACAACTCCCAAAACAAAACAAAAAAGCAGATTATCCATATCAATAAGGAAACTTCAATCCAAAAAGAGATCACTCTGGCGGAAAAACAAATCTGGTCACGTTGCCAATTTCAAAAACCGATACAAAAATTTATGCCACCAGATAAAGACCGAATGCACCAATTATCACATTAAACAAGAGGAAAACCTTCTAAGCACCAATTCCACCCGTGCTTTTTACAATTTTGTAAACAACAAACTAAAAGACTCAAGGTCCATCCCTCCCTTGATAGGACCTGATGGTAAAGACTGCAACGACGACACCATTAAAGCCAACATCTTTAACACATTCTTCGGCTCAGTATTTGTAAACAGCAATGGATCATGCCCAGTATTTCCTAGCTGAACCACAGAAAAAAGGGAGACCCAAGCCTAGTTGAAAATTACAGGCCAATCTCCTTATGCTGCGTCACCTGTAAAGTCATGGAATCAATTATTAACCAATCCATCATCCTCCACTTAGAGACAAACAACCTACTCTCCAATAAACAATTTGGTTTCAGAAAAAAACTATCCTGTAATCTGCAACTCTTACACTGCAAAAACATATGGACGACACAACTCGACCAAGGCAAAGCAATAGACGCAATCTACATAGACTTCTGTAAAGCCTTTGATTCAGTGGTACACGACAAACTACTCCTAAAAATAAAATCCTATGGTATCTCTGGACAACTGAATAACTGGATAGAAGCATTCCTGTCAAACAGACAACAAATGGTCAAAATCGGGAGCGTCCTATCAAATCCAGTACCTGTCAATAGTGGTGTCCCCCAGGGCAGTGTTCTAGGACCAACTCTCTTCATACTCTACATAAACGATCTCTGTGATCATATTAAGAGCAATTGCGTTCTCTTCGCTGATGATGTAAAGCTGTTCAATACCACAGACAATACTGCTACCCTACAAAAAGATCTTGACTATGTATCTGAATGGTCAAACAAATGGCAACTTCAAATCTCAACAAATAAATGCTCTGTCCTACATATTGGCAAAAAAAATCAGAAAATAAAATACAAGCTGAATAGCCAAGATCTTGTTGATGACCCAAGCTCTGTAAAGGACCTTGGAATACTCACCTCTAATGATCTAAGTGCTAGAGCCCACTGCAACTACATAGCCAAAAAGGCATTAAGAGTTGTTAACCTAATCCTACGTAGCTTTTTCTCTGGTAATATCACACTACTAACCAGAGCATACAAAACATTTGCTAGACCAATACTCAAATACAGTTCATCAGTCTGGAACCCTCATTACGTATCTGATATTAACACAATTGAGAAAGTCCAGAAATATTTCACAAGAAGAGTTCTCCACTCTTCTACTCGTTGTAGAATACCTTATGCCACCAGACTTGAAATTCTAGAACTTGAAAACCTTGAATTACGCCGTCTTCGGTCTGACTTAAACATGGTATATAAAATCATACATTGCAATGTCCTACCTGTCAATGAATACTTCAGCTTCAACCATAACAACACAAGAGCACACAATAGATACAAACTCAAAGTAAACCGCACCAAACTTGATTGCAGGAAATACGACTTCAGCAATAGAGTGGTCAATGTCTGGAATACTCTACCCGACTCTGTAGTCTCTTCCCCAAACCCCAAAAACTTTAACCTTAGACTGTCTACTATTGACCTCACCCCTTTCCTAAGAGGTCTGTAGGGGGCGTGCATAAGCGCACCAACGTGCCTACCGTCCCTGTCCTATTGTTTCTCTTATTCTTTTATTTTTCTTATATGTACCCATTTCATGTATTCACAACTATGTATACACTTATACTTATTATCTTGTAAACAATTGGCAAATCAAATAAATAAATAAATAAATAAAAATAATATTTAGAAATATTTCTCTAGGCTGTAGCGAGGAGAGGTAGAGTAATCATATTGTATAACACAGAGGTCCCGACCTTTCCTGCCTGGCAGAGGGGAGGGGAGGTGGGATGGTTCTGTTACCTGACATTTCCTTTGAAATTCCCCCTCTGATAAGATCCAGCAGGAATGACATGTTCCAGATCCTCTCAATTAAGCAATGTCATTTTAAGGATCAGGTGATGTGCCATCCCTGTTGCTGCATTGCCCTAGGGATTAGCATTTCCCCCGGAGATTCAGAGGCCCTGACTTTCATAAAACCCTGAAGACCTGGTTTTCTTCCAGGCACTGGGTCAATTGGTTTTGTGAATCTGATTGGATTGTTTTTTAGGATTGCTGAATTGCCTCTGACATAATTGTTTTAAGCCTTAATATATATTTCAATAGGGTTTTTTTTTTAATCGTGTTATTTCGGTTTATCCTTACGCCATCCTGAGTTGGAAATCAAAAGGCTGGCTATATTCAGTAAATAGATTAAATAAATAAATAGCCAAGTGCACCTCAAAGTTATCTTTCTCTAGGAGAATTTCATACAATTCCGATTTGATTTGGCTCAAGCTTTGTTGCTTTGCTTCCTAAATCCAGAATTTTCAACACCCAAAGCAGTATTCGATTGACAGGAATGTCTCTTGAGTAGATATGCCAAGATTTAATATGTAGTGCACATGAGTAAATTCAGAGTATAGGCCACAAATCCTTTCCTTAAAACTTTTAAATGGCTCTCAGAGAAGTTATTTTCATCATAGTTTGGACATATACGCTTAGAGATCTCTAGCAGGCATCATTATTTGTAGCAAATAAGATGATGGGCCAACTTCTTCAGGTGTTTCTGAGACCTGCTCTTGAGTTAATAAAACAGTTGCTTATTGCTCTCTTCAAAGATTCAAGAGATAAGAATAAAATCAGTCCTGGCTCTTGGTATGGTTCACAGGCAGCACCTCACAACACTGAGATTTTGACATATTTGATGTTCATAATTATAGTTATGGCTTCTTGCCCAGTATTGATGGTTTATGTCAAATTGAATTGATTTGTCCCTTTTTCACTGAGATGAAGCTAGATGTTTTGCATCTTTTGCTGTTAACAGGAAAACAGTTTTATTGCATGATTGAGTGAAGCAAAATCAGTTATGCCTTTAGTTTTAGAAATTATAAAAGTAGGCCTCTAATTCTTTTTAAATGAGAAAGTGTCTCAGGCATTGATTTTTTTTTTCCGTCCTGGTTGCTGCTCAGCCATGAACCTGTTAAGGTATTTTGGCCATTCAGCTTCTATTCTTTCATCTATAAGTGAGATTTCTAGGTAGCTTCTTTGGAATGACTGCCCGAGATCTTAAATTACCTTTTCCAGCCAGGTGTTTTCCAATTATGATTGACCTCAGAAGTTGTGGGAGCGTCATCACTTGAGACTTTCAAGAAGAGATTGGACTACCATTTGTCAGAAATAGTGCAGAGCCTCCCACTTGGGCGGAGTGGTGGTGGACTAGATGACCTACAAGGTCCCTTCCAATTCTGATTATCTGTTATGATGAAGAATTCCAGCTCTCATAAGGCTTGGAAATGGCTAGAACAGGGGTGCAAACTCAAGGCCCAGGGGCCGGATCTGACCCATGGGGCTGCCCTGG